GCCCTCCCTCGCTACCTGCATGGTCTCCACGGCCACGATCTCCTTCGCGAGGAGAGTGAGGAGATAGCCGGTCATGATCACAGGCACCAAAGTTAAGGTGGCCCGGGTGCCCGCCAACCGCACGTCCAAATAGTCCCGGGGGGAGAAGGCGATCGTGTAGACGGCGATGGAGAACAAGCCCACGCCCAGCAAGAGCATCATGTACTGGACCACCAGGAAAGCTTGATTGAAATGGAAGGCATGCGTGCAAAGGGAAGGTTCGGGCTGGCCTTGGTAAGCGGGCAAGTCAGCGTACATCCGGGGGTGGATGAATTTGGTCAAGGTGACCAGGGTGGCGCTCATGACGCGAGGCTCTGGTTGGATCGGAGAAGATTCGCGGTAGACCGTCATCCCCAACAGGCCGGAGAAGGAGACAAATAGGGCGTAGGGCAGCATGTCGTGATCGATCAACCCCGCGTTGACCCCGTTGAAGGACAAGATCAAAAAAACCACAGCTTTCATCGCGAAGGTGGCCTGGCGTGTGGAAGGAAAGGAAAGTGCAGGAGTGGATGGTGAGGGACCAGGGACGACGGAACCCTTATGAGAGGGCCCGGGCCGTGCCGGGAGCTCGTACCGCAGACCCCGTAAAGAGCGTTTGATCACCCACGCCAAACCCCCCCTTGTTCGGGGACACCAAGCAGCGTTGCCAGTCCTCAACAGTGTACCCATACTGCCGGCCTTGGATCCAGGCGTAGACGGTGGCCAAGATCGTCGACGCCATGACTGTCGGGATCGCTACCAGAAGCAGGATTTTCAGAGCAAATATGGCCTTCCTGTCCACCTCCTCATTATGCACTCCCCCCCACCGATTTAGCTGGATGGGCATTGTTCTTCGTCCCTCTCGTTCACGGCGCTACGGATGAAGGAGAACACCTTGAAGAGGGGTCGGCGGGAATAGGAAAGGGAGAGGTGAGAAACCGTAGTAGTACTAGCAGTAGCGGCGAGGTTTTTGGGGGACGGGCGGCTCCAAATTTCAAACACGCAAGAACGACATACGGAAGACCCAAGCATGACATGCCGACGCCTATATCTACATGGGGTGCCTTTTGATGTGCCGCATGCGCATTCCGTGAGGTTTGTGTGTCACTTTTTAAATTTCATTTTTATGGCATCCCGGGACGTCGGACAGCGAGCGCAATAATCCCTCAGTGGGGGGGTACAAGGACTCGGTCGAAAAAGGTCGCTATGGCAATGCACGCGCAGCTACAGGAGGAGACAACGTCGAATCTACTTTAGTCGTCGGACAGAGGTTTTAGGTTTGCGAGGATTTCTGCAGGGATGAAAGGTATTGCACGTAGATTTGAAAATGATCGGAATGAGACTCAAACGCGACGTTACGTGGTAACCTCCTTGCTTGTACTAACTAGTTGATAAAAAGAAAATTAATCTTGGCAATCCAAAGAATCGCACAATGCGTTAGGAACGGTACCAACATAGCTTCTGCAAGCCTTGGCAGTTCAAATCGAAGTGCAGGCTGGTCAATGAGCCATTTTTACCGCGCCTGCGTGGTAAACCCTTATTGTGGCATACACTGCAGGCAGCGCATGGGAAGAGGCTTGATACCCCCACGAAGCATATGCATAAATGTACGTATATCTATATATAATTATATAAATCAACCGAATGGAAACGTGTGTGTACTTGTACATGCTATGGTTATTTGGCTTACCCTCGCCTTAATTGCACGTCATAATCTAACTAATCCGGGTCTTCGGCCAGCGTGACTTTTCTGCGTCCCTCCTTTTCTTCTTCATTTCCTTCTCTTCCTTCTTCCGCTTTGCCTCCGGAGTCGACCGTGCGAGTGCCTCTTCTTCTTTCCGTTGTTTTTCTCTTCTTTTCCACTCCCTCTCTTGCTGATGCGCCACCTGCAAGGCTCTCAATTTCTTGGCTTCAATCTCCGCCCGGACCTCCTTGCTCCTTCTGCGTGCCGCCTCCGACAACATCACTCCCCCTCCCGCCACATGATCGAGCAGGTCAAACACCAACTGAAGCAAGGGTAAGAGGTGTGCCTTCATACCCGTGGCCGTGGTGGGGAGAAGGAAGCGGGCCCGTAAAATGACAGGAG